TTCCTATCTACTATTTCAAAGTCAAATTCTTGTAAAAGAATAATCCATAGTATCAGTCTTGGTTTTGCATCCTTCTTTTTTATTAAATATTTAATAGCAGAATAATAGGTATGCACAACACATTTAGTTCCAATTAAGTATTATCTAAACTTATCAAAAACATATACTATTACTAATAACTTTTCTCAGTTGTGGTATAATTAATTTGAGTTTCATTAAGAGTTCTACTAGCATAGTAAATTAATTTTAAAATCTCATCATGTTTTTGTTCTAAAACAACTTCAATAGCATAATCACTTGCATCACACATTAATTCAAAAGGTTTTTCCCAATTTGGTGAAATCATAATTGGCACTGTGAGTAATTTTTTTTAGTAGCTCAAAAGCTTTTAGACACTCCTTATTAAAATTAAAAAGTACATCTTTTTCAAGCAAATGACATAGAAGCTTAGTAATTTTTTAAAAGACTTTAATATATCGCCTGTAGAATCCAACATATCCTAAAAAAATTCTAATTTCTCTCACATTTGTTAGGTAAGGTAAATTAGCAATCACTTGAATTTTTGCGAGATTTACTTCCATACAATTTTCTGATATCTGATGTCCTAAAACAATTCCTTATGCTACAATAAATTGACTTTTTTCTAAATTAATGATTAAATTTATTTCTTCATATCACTTAAGAATTTTTGATAAATTTTTTAAACATTGTTCAAATGAAATTCCAAACACAGAAAAATCATCCATAAAACTTCAATTCTTTTTTCAATTAAATGACAAAAAATAACCATCATATTTGAAATATAGCAGAGGCATTACATAAATCAAATGACATTCTTCTAAAAACAAATGTATCATGAGGACCGGACATAAATCAAATGACATTCTTCTAAAAACAAATGTAACATGAGGACTGGTAAAAGTTGTTTTCTCTTGATCTTCAGGAGTTATTTGTATTTGGTGATAACCAGTATATCCATCCAGAAAATAACAAGTATTTATGCCCAGTTAGTCTATCCAACATTTGATCTAAAAAGGGTAGTAGAAAATGATTTTTCCTAGTTGTGAGATTTAATTTTCTATAATCAATACATATTTGCCACCTTGTGACTTGTTTTGTTGGCATTAACTCATTATGTTCATTCATAGTCACAATCACTCCTTTCTTAGGAACGCAGTGAATTGGGCTAACACATGCACTATCTAAAATAGGGTAGATAATTTTAGTATCTAACCACTTTAAAATTTCTTTCTTAACAACTTATTTCGTAACAGGATTCAATCTCCTTTGAGGATCAGTCTTGATTTGCAGTTCTCTTCCATATGAATTCTATGCACACGAATTGAAGGACTTATTCCTTTAATATCAACAATTATCCATCCGAAGGCTTTCTTTCATTAAACTCAATTAAATTTAGGTTCTTGTGATTGAGTTGAATCTAAAAATATAAAGACTGGTGGTGTATGAATTCCTAAAATAAGTAGGCTTTTAAATTTTCAGTAAGTAACTTCAACTTAAGTTCAAGAGATTTTTCAATCGATGGATAGAAAGATTTATCTTTTTCTGTCGTTTCCAAAACTTCAAAACTTTCTCGAATATAATTCGAATCTTTCTTATAAAAATCTTCAAATTGACATAATTCCTATTCTTGCTCGTGTTCCAACTCTTTCATTTTAGATTTCTCTTTAAAAGTTGTTTTGAAATGATATTCACTCAGATATCTTATTACATTCATTCAGTAACATTCATCATTTTTACCTTTTGCAGGATACTTCATTGATTTTAAAATATTAAACGTAATTATTTGACCGTTGACGCACATAGTTAATTCCCCTTTATGCGCATCTATCATTGCACTTCCTATAGCTAGGAAAGGTCTCCCCAAAATGATAGGCATCTCCTTATCTTCCTCTATATCTAGCACAATGAAATTAAAAAGAAAGATAAATTGATCAACTTTCACTAAAACATCTTTTATAACTCTTTTAGAATATATTATTGAACGATCTGCTAACTGCAGAGTTATAGTAATAGGGGATATTTCTCCTAATCCCAATCTTTTAAATATTGATAATGACATTTAATGCTTGCACCTGAATCATATAAAATTTTCCCATAAAATTTGTCTCCTATTGCACATGAAATTATGAAGCTATCGGGATCTTTAAGCTTTTCAAAAAGCTTTTTTTGAATATAGCACTGCACTCCTCACAAAGCGCAACAGTCTCGTAATCTTCGAACTTCCTTTTCCGGTTAAGAATATCCTTCAAAAACTTCACATAGTTTGGCATTTGTTCTAAGGCTTCAGCAAATGGAAAATTAATTATAAAATTCTTAAAGATTTTCAGAAATTTTGAAAATTGTTTATCTAACTTTTGTTGACCATGTTTCTGAGGAAATGGAGGTGGTTTTTCCAAATCAATTTTAAGTGAAGAAATAAGTCTCTCTAAACCTTTCGGATCGTCCTCTTCAGACCCTTCAATTTCTTCTCCTTCTACTTCAATCTCTTTTTGAACTCTACCTTCCAACTCTCTTCCGCTTCTAAGTTGAACGGCTTTTACTTGCTCTTTATTCTGGTCTTTTGAATTTACTTCTGTATTACTAAGAAGTGTTCTTTGGGATTTAATACTTAATGAATTTGTTATTTGTCTCAATTGAATCTCAATATTTCTAATAATAATTCTTTGACTTTGTAACTGATTTCTCATTTGTAACACCACTTATTTTAAATTCATGCTTAAACTATATTAAAAATATGCTATCCCTCCCTCCCCCAAATCACAAAAGACATAGGCCTCAATCATGATCCATAAAGAAGGTGATGCCTATATGTCAGGATTTGGAGCATGTCGCAAATGCATCACGACCGAGAATACCGTACGCCACGATTCCTAGGTTGCTTCCTAGCTAGCTCTAATCGCGACTATATCGTGTGGTTCATCCATGAAGGAGCTGATAACAGAGTTAAACGAACCACCATAGAAATAGGAATATCATTAATGAAATTCAAACAGGTTATAACAACGACTCTCCAAAGTAAAAAATAAACACTAAAAAACATAAAACAAGACTCTAGGGCGAGGAGAGAGGTGATGAATTTCAACAAAGCAACAAGTATGGGAGTGGTCGAGAGGCTACGACAACACTTGGAGGTTGTTTGGAAGAAGGTCAGTAGCAAAGACGGGGTACAGGGAGCAGGTGTTGCGTAGAGAGGTCTGCTAGGAAGGACAACTGTAGGGAGGCTACAAGGAGGATGGTTCGACAATAGGGTGTCCACAGAGAAAGGAGGCGGCAACTGGGTGGCTGTAGGGAAGGTGGGGCAGCTGTTGGGTGGCTGCAAAAAAGGTGGGGCGGCAATTGGGTGGCTGCAAGGATGATGGGAGGCAGTTGGGTGGTTGCAGCTGAGAGACTAGTAGGAAAAAAAATCAATAGGGGACACCACCTTAAAGCAAGATACAATCGGAACACCACCTGTCCTCGGATACAACCCTATCAAGGGAAATTTCCTGTTCGCATGAACCTGCAATCAAATGGCAAGCAAAAAACAACCTCCCTAAACAAACACACATCATACATATAATAGAGGGTAGATAGAATAAAGATGGGAGATGGAAAAGGAATGAAATATACTCGGAAGGAATCTCCCTTAGAAGGGGTCGAATAACAAATGGAGAAAAGGGTGGGAGCGGGAGGGAGGCGTCGGTCCAGCCTCCTACTGGACTGTGACACCCCCTACTCCGTTGGACAGTTTAGCCAGGCCTAAGCCCCGTGTCAGGAGCACTGCACGGTTAGGTCACACCTCGGTACGTTGTGCGATTAGGTCATGCCCTGGCACATCATGTTCCAGTTTGTTTCCTAAAATCACTATTTTTTCGTGTGGTTCAATCAAAAACGCGAGAGAGACCTATATAGTGCAATCCCGTACCCTTCCAAAATGCTTCCAGGATCGATCGGCGCGTCGCGAACATGACATCTCGATGATTTCAGAATAGATAGGAACAAACAAACTTTCCAAAACAGTCAAAGCACAAATAAAATAATTTATTCCAATGATATCAAATCAAAACAATAGAACACCAAATAGCGCAACATGAATATATAAAAGCTAAGCACATATAATTCGAGAGGTATGCAATCTCACTCAAGGCCTTCAATTCAAGAGTTTGGCAATCTCTCCTAAATCCTAAACGTAAGACTCAAGACAACAACCTCATATATATCCTAATCCTAAACATAATAGGCCCTATTTATACCCCAAATTAATAATTAATAAATGACTAAATTGCCCTTAGGCGCCAACGTAACAGATTCCTATTCATTCCTCACACCTACAATTTATTTTAACAGATGATTATTGCTTCTAAATTGTGCTAAACATAATTAATTTGAGACAACAGCAGCCAAGTAAAAGCCAAAGAGTTTCTAATAACACTACATTTCTAGTACAACTCATTTACTGGTATCAATCATTCCAAATATGATTTTGCTGGAGTGAATATAAATTGGGATTATAATTCCTTGAAGTAGGCAAAGTATATTTCAGTAAAATTATCTTTCTTGTTCAGCGCTTTTATTGTATCTATCAGTTACTTCAGGATATAATTGCATTATTGCGACAATATATTGCGAATTATATCATCTTAAAGTAGGCAAATTAGATTTCTTCAAAGTTGGATGATCAGGAATCTCAAATACAGAAACTCATGTATCATGTTCGCTAGGTTGGCAACAAGATAAATTTAGATGCATGACTGTATAATAAAAGAGGTGATATTGTATTACAATGCCAAAAGGTTTAACACATGAGCTTATTAGTTTGTTTAAAAAAGCATAAGGGAATTTGCCAGGCTGAAACCAGTCAGCAAAGAGAATTATAATCAATATCATCCAATGGACACCACAAAAACAATCAAATTTGCAATTCAAATTATCATCATTATCAACGAATTGAGATTAACTAAATATATATGATTCTAAAACTATTAATGGGAAGCATCTACCATCAATGCTCGGTTCCGAGAACGAGGAAGCTCCTGAATAAATTTTTCAAATGCTTGCATTCTTACTTTTCCTTTAATTTCTATATGGGCAGGCCAATTGAGATCTTGAACTTTCTCACCACTGTAAATAAATAATAAACCCGAGCATGAGTTTGCCAATCATATATATATTTTAATTTAAAACCCAAACAATACATAAACAATGGCTATAACTGCTCTAGTTCTGGGTTCAGTATATAACATCAAATGCTAGAGAAAGAAAACTGGTATTAGAAGGATACGAACCAGAATAACATTAAAAAGAATTGAAATCATACGTGTGTTCTGATCTAAACATATCTATTGTGTTCTCGAAGCTAGAGGATGTATCCAAAAAGTAAATGTAGTAAATGTTAAAGCAATCAACTAGCCTTCGGTATTCAAAGCTAGCTAAATTGAAAAATCACTACAACCGTCAAGTAACATAACAAATCACAAGTTATGACATCCCTGCACCTGCTCATAATAGTATAACCTTCTGTTGTTCAATTAGAAAACAATAGATAGTTGAGTAAATGGTTGGGTAAAGCAACTAGTGCGACTTATGCTAGAAGAAAAAAAAATATGTGCACCGCTTCAGACTTAATTGTTCTCATCAGCTTACAGTGCAATACCAATAGCTAAACAAAACAATTAGAAAACCACGTATAATGGCTTCAAATAAATGATAACTTTAGCAAATAAAGTTATTTCATTCTCATCATCAATGTAGATAAGTAAAAAAACTATGGAATGACAAATGGCCCGTGCCATTTTGTACCTTAATGAATTACAAGACTCATTTATCTTCAACATATTAGAAAAGTTCTAGGAGTTCATTATCAAAATACTTTGATATTATCACAAGCTTACAGATAACAAAACCCTTTCTTGAATATACTGGTGCCACCAAACGCCAAAGCAATTCAAACCCAGGCAATGGAAAAAATTAAATATCTGATTGGACAAAAAGAATATAAAAAAGAATGATGTAAGAAAAATATCAAGAACAAACTAAAATAATATTAACGAAGCCAAACACCAAAGTTATAGCAATTCAATAAGCTTTAGGTGTATATTTGCACTTGCAAAAAGTACACTCTGGATGAGGCGGTGAACTTCTAAATTCTGAACAACAAAAACAAAGAATTCCTTGAAGAATGATGCAAAATTTAAATTGGGAAGAAGATAGGCCCTGGGGTTTATGTAAAACAACTCCGTTAAACTGCAGGAATCATTTGAAGTTTGAAATAGGACCAGAACGAACTTCTAAAACTAAGAAACATAATGTAGCTGAATGTTTATGTTAATAACAATTGCAAAACATGGTTCGAGGGATTTAAAATCTAGGTGAAATCATTTAGAAGCCTGGATTGATCTAGGTAAGAAAAAGTGATCAGCTTATCAAACAAAGCAAAAAGAAACTGATTATCAGGTGAAATTCATAGGTTGCAAAATATGAGAAGAATTGCTTTAAAAGTAAGAGCTGAGAAATAACATCATGCACAACCTTCAAGACACTAGTTTTGGACTCCAGTGAGCTAGACTGTATTACAATGTGCAAAGAGTGAATGCTACTTGTATTATTTTCTTTAGTATCATGTAATTGAGAGTGAATGCCTACTAGGCTTTATTTCATTGAGCTTAAAGCCTTCTAAAGAGAATGCAGCTTTCTGACTGGATTATTAGATTAATTCATTCATGTTTTTTATGGTAGGCCATTTAAATGTTCTTAAAGACTATAAAATTGTTAATTCCAACATGTTTGTCTTTATGTTTAGTTATAGTATGTTTATGCTAGATGTATTCATCCTCAGATATCTCTATAACAATTACGAACATGAAAAAAGATATTCGTTAACTTTAGAGCGAATATAGTTTAGGGAAATTTATATACATACATCACAATTCTTATATATTTACATATATAATAATTAATCTTTTGTATTTACATTTATAACCATTTAGTGTCACAGACTTATGTCTGAAAATGTGTATTTTATTTTTGAAAAGTAAACAATGCTGGTATTTTTGGTGTGATAATAAGAATTTGAGTGTTATGCATATAAATATGATAATTTAGATGTTAGATATGTAAATATATAAGAATTGTGAGGTATGTACATAAATGCCCCAATATAGTTTATTGATTAACTTGGGTTTATATTGTCATTAAATAGAAGTTGTAGGCTTGTCATAATGTGATTTAATATTGAACGAACATGTAGAAATGAAAATGGCCTATTTATACATGTAGAGGTAGAGTTGAAAACACCAACCACTTCTGAGGCCCAATACAAGCAAAAGCTTCATGCACTAGTATGCTCTTTTTCAATGAATAACTCATCCACTCAAGTACTTAAACAGTAATCAACATTAAATAACGTGAACTATTACCAATGTATATGCAATTAACTGATCATTTAGGTCTAGATTCATCAATTTCTACTCACATCTCTTCTAAATTAAAACATATGTTTATTAAATCTAAAAAACAACTCAATTACACCTCAATGGTAATATATGTAACAGTTCTAGGCATGATGGATAAAATAAGGACCATTCATAGGAGAGCCAGAGTATTTAGTATCTAACCTTGAACTAAGAACTGATAATTGCTTGTCTAAATTCTTATAGTTCTTTTACTTCCGCTTAAAACAGTAATAAGAATTTACTCTACTGTTCAAGATAAATGCCTCAGGCCAACAAAATTTAGGAGATTTTTTTCATGAGGTTGTAATTCATCCTCATCTCAAAAGAAATGCAAATTTAGACTCAACAGGTTGACATAGATTAACCCAATTTTGGACAGATAGTTTAACTTCATCCAAGAGGAATTTGGAAATTGGCATAGAGGGTAGGACAGGCAGCAAGTAAATTAATCTTGACATTTAGCAACACTTAAGGTAGGGGCATTTTTTAAATATTCCTATTCCTACAAAATTGGAATTTGTGCATGGAATTTTTATTAGATATAAACATAGGTAAAGGGAGACCACACACTAACTTTCATAGCTTTCTAATAAACAAAGGACTTTCTTGAATTTGTAAAACATAGAAACCAATCGCCAAATAAAAAATTAATTGCGATCAAAGTAGATAAAATTTTAATTTGAAAATTTTATGTTGGGTAGAACTTGTTAAAGGGAAGCTCTGAAAAAAAATTATAATTTCAAGGTTGTTTGAATTTTTTTAAAACTTTTGGATTCCATTAGCAATATGTTAAAGCCTTGTATCGCTTGTTTCCCTCCAAGATTGTGTGGTCTCTCTTTCAAATTTTATTAAGTATGAAGACTTCATATTCTACCCTCGCTCAATTTAAAAGCCCTTATCATACTATTGGGCTCTTTATCCTCATGGTTCTAAAAACGGGACCAGGCCAGCCCGTTCTACCAGTTAGACGATTGACCGGGTCCAGGGTCGGTCCGGTTCGGCTAAAACCCGTCTCCTATATCAAACCATTCAAAAACACTCGAACAACCGATTCAACTATTGAACCAAAGAACTGAAACCAGTTTTTGGTCCAATTTTTTGCCACTCACGCCGTTATGTCCAATTTTCTAGCTCGGTGTCCAATTTTTTGGCACTAGTCTCACGAATAAGTGCAGTTATAACATATTAGCTTATTAATAGAAGCTTGTAAAGACTACTATAACTATAAAATAAATATATTATTTAATATTTTGGGCCAACCGATTCAAAAGTTGTTGGGTTGTTTGGAATGATTGCAATTTGTTTCTACACCTTTTTTAAAGATCAACGAGTGTATGCCTCTTTGAGATGTGGGACAAAAATAAATGAAAGCATGGGGTAAAAGTATTTTTAGCTAAAGTCACAATTGTTACACATGTAGCTCAAAAATCTGATATATTGATTTACATGATGGAATCAACAACAACAACAACAACAAAGCCTTAAACCCACTACGTGGGGTGGCTACATGAATCCTTTTTCTCCATGGGGTCCTATTTAGTGTCATATTTTCATTTGGTTCTAGTAAAATAAGATCATTTTTAATATAATAAGCTCAATTCTTCCTAGGTCTACCTCTGCCTTTCTTAACACAAGTCGAATTTAAAACATCTACTCTCATAATCGGATCATCAGATGGACGACGTTTAATGTGACCAAACCATCTACGACAAATTTCTCTAATTTTGTTCGTCACAGGAGCTACACCAACCCTATCACGGATATATTCATTTCGCATTTTGTATCTAAGTGTAAAGCCACTCATCCACCTAATCATTCTCATCTCGGCAACACTTAACTTATTATTATGCTTCTCTTTTAAAGGCCAACATTCAGCGCCATAGAGCATTGCAGGTCTCACCACCATCTTATAAAATTTTCCTTTCAGTCTTAGCGGTACTTTTCTATCACACAAAAGGCCCGAAGCATTCCTCCACTTCAACCAACCAACTTGAATTCTACTATTAACATCCCCATCTATATCACCATCGCTTTGAATAACAGACCCAAAATATCTAAATCGTTCACACCTTTTAATAATTTGATCACCCAAAGTCACAGTTCTGTCACTAGAGCTCTTAGTACTAAAATTACATTCCATGTATTCAGTTTTAGTTCTACTTAAATGAAGGCCTTTGGACTCCAATGTAGACCTCCATAATTTAAGTTTTTCCTGGGCTTTTTCTCTCGTTTTATCCGCAAGAAGGATATAATCAGCAAAAAGCATACACCAAGGTACATCCTCCTGTAGATGTCCAGCAAAACCATCCATAAAGCAAAAAAGATATGGGTTTAAAGCCAATCCTAGATGTAATCCAACAGAAATAGGAAAATATTTGGTCAATCCCCCTTTAGTTTGAACACAAGTACCAGCTCTAGTATACATATCTTTAATGACTTAAATATAAGTTATATCAACACATTTCTTCTCAAGAACTCTCCAAAGGATATCTCTTGGAACCTTATCGTAAGCTTTTTCTAAATCAATAAAAATCAAATGTAGATTCTCCTTATTATCTCTGAACTTCTCCATCAAACCTCTCAATAAATGTATAGCTTCCATAGTAGACCTGCCCGACATAAATCCAAATTGATTATGAGAAATCTTTGTAATACATCTTAACCATTCTT